ACAAGTTTTTGCCATGAATATTTTGTGGGTCAGAAGACTATAATTATTACCAAAACACAAAATAAGTATAAATAAGTATTTATATTTGTGTACAAGCTGTTTAGCTTGTCAAAAAGCCTGTGTTTTCAGGTTTATTAATGAAGTTCACGTACTCAGACCAGTAATATTTGGGGTCACAAGTTTTTGCCATGGATATTTTGTGGGTCAAAGGTAAAAAGTTTGAAAACCACTGCTGTAGATTATGAGTCATGAAGCACCTTGGTTAATCTCCAGAAATCAATTTAAATGGTAATAAAATAATTGCTGATGTAATATTTTTCCTATAATTATTAGAAAAATACAAAATAAGTAAAAATAAGTATTTATATTTGTGTACAAGCTGTTTAGATTGTCAAAAAGCCTGTGTTTTCAGGTTTATTAATGAAGTTCGTGTACTCAGACCAGTAATATTTGGGGTCACAAGTTTTTGCCATGAATATTTTGTGGGTCAGAAGACAAAAAGTTTGGGAACCACTGATCTAAATCACTTGATGTTGTCAGTAACTTTTTAGTTAATTGAAAAATTATGTCTTCAACTACTAATAAAGTATATGAATGAATGAAGGATTTATTTATTCGGGACAGTGTGCAATTAAAACATAATTTGATGCATTGCACCAGATTTAGCCTAAGGCTAATTTACATCTGTAATCCCATCAAACAGTAAAAATAAAACAACATCCAACAGTGAAATAGAAATAAGAGTGGAAAAAAAACAGAAAAATAAAAATATAAAATAAAACATTTTGCAAAAAATACATAAAACACCCCACCCCACTCTCCAAACATAAAACCATGCCCACCTCCACCCCACCCTCCAATATTATTTCTTACCTGTTTGACACTTTAAAAAATTTCACTGCATACCAAGTTATAGATAAAACTTGTCTCTATTGATATTGGCTAACCATCTTCTCAACAGGTCAGGTTTGTCTAACCAAAACCTAAAAATAGTCAGATATATAATATTATTTTACACTGTGTAAATATTACATAAATCAGAGGATAAATCAGTTTGTAATATTTAAGAATTTCTACTAAACTGTAATATGATTCAGCAGAGTTCTACATTCTGTATAACAATATATGCTACAGAAGCTAATGTCTGCTAACCAGTTCAATAATTACCCATGATTACATTGGCTTTGTGAGCTCGTTATAACGGTTACATTATTAGTTTCAGTTCTGCTCAGATCACATCCACACTGAGGTAAATAAGTAAGTAAGTAAAGTAAAGTTTTATTTATATAGTGCCTTTCACAGAAATAAATTCACAAGGTGCTGTACATTCAGGGAAGGGGGAGGGGCCAGTTAAGAAACACCATTCAAGAAGACATACAAGACAAACATGGGGGAACAGGTGAAGCCGTTCAAGCAGCAAACATAGTTGTGCTACTTTTAACAACAGAAAAACTAAAAACCACACAAGGGAAGATGAGGGAAAAAAATAAGATAAAATCTGATTCCTTGTGAAATGATATGGGGGTGTTTTTGTTTCTCATCTCTTGGTACATCTATAATACACACAGCTTCTGACATTTTTATATGTACTCTAACGTATTAGTTTTATTTTTGTTATTATCATAAATGTTTTTACAGCTTTTACAAAATCAGTCCTTATTGTTTGCAATTTTACCAAAATGTACAATAATGTTAAATCCAGTTGCCTGCCTGGTCTAATTATGGCCCCCATTGCCACAACAAATCATAATGTAATGTGAACAATATGCACTCCAGCTGTATTGTAGAACCTCCTTGTGGTAGTCATATTTTGTCTTTAAGATTGTCTCAAACAAGGTTCTGATTTTAGTCCGAATCTCTCAAGCCTTTCCCTACAGTTACAAATTAAACATTGCATAAATAAATGTTTTAACATTCACTTTATTTACAGTAAATGTTTCACAGCTGAGATTCGTCAAAGTGTATCAAAAGTATAAAAGAAAATCAGTAACCTTATATTTCAAAGATTAATAAAAAAATCAGTTTGTCACACACACATTAATCTGAAATGCTTATACTGAATGAAATGAGCAAGTAACGGTTTTTCAGAGTTTTAACAGTAAAATTATGTCTCAGTTCCATTACAGTGGCTGTAATTGCTTTCTCATGATTACTAAAGATAAAACATGCCAGTTTGTCACTAAGAAGTGGCCAAACAGTGCAGAAAACAGTTAAGCTATAGAAAAATAATCTGTTAGAAATGCACTCTTTTTGCTTTTTTTTTTCTAAAAACCAAAGTCCTAAAAGTCCTGAATTGTTTTTGACAAACTGCTCCAGTATGAAATCTCAAAATTCTTCCATATACAGTAACACATCTAGCTGAATAGTCATTGACATTAACATTTAAATAAAATGTTGTTTTTTTTATGATAAATTAGCAGAAGATGTAGGAATAACACATTCTGTGTGTTTGTGAGTGAACAGACTGCTGTCTCTGTGAGGTGCAGCTAATGTGAGGGTCTGTGGGATTTCACTGTGTTTGCAGATTTACTTATCTGGTCAGAGGAGCTCAAACATGAATCCATCTTAAAAATAAAAGAAGTTGTCTTGCAATTAAATATAATTTCACGTGTTCAATTTCAAAAGGAGACACATGTTGCATGCTGTCTGCTACTCGTGAATTACCCTGATGCAGCAAGAAAGTCTTTTTTTGTTTAATTACTTTAATTAGTAAATGTTTGCTGCAGATTATGAATGCTAAAGGATTACATACTGTACACTCCTTATATCCTCCTTGTCTAAACAGACATCTTGCTGTATCAGGATTCTAGGATTGTATTGCCAGGTTCTTGCAGAACTTTTGATCAGGCACTAAGAAGGATGGTTTGTCTTTTCCACATGGTGTCCATATCTGACTAACATCATACTTGGAAGACCTGCTATGAATCAGTCTTTGCAAAGCTAATTAGTCTTAACTTTATAATATACTATTCAAAAAGATTCGTCTCTAACACTTACTGTAGCTTTAAAGATAATCAGTCACACAAACCATACATATTTAACAGCACATTTCTTTCTAAACCATAATGATTTGATTCTCTGTACTCTTTAGATTTTGCCAGTACTGGTCCATATTCTTATTGTAGTGGCTCATCTGCCATGAAGATTTAAAGTGTCTGTGACATGCATGTCCTTCAAATACAAAAAGAAAGTCAAAGACAACATATTTATATTTAAAAATTTGGCAAAATTCTTATTTATTTTAGCTTTTTTTTTTTCACGTAACCGTCATATTTTCTTTTCAATTTGGCTCAACCAAAGTGAAACAGGAAGTGACATCAAAGGAAAACTCTTTGAGAAAATGAACTTTATTTATTGAAACAATATATTTGAACTCTGACTCTTCTTCGTCTGTCTCTGATAGTGACTCAAATAATTTAAAGAAACATCAGATTCTTCTCTACAGTCTGTGTTGTTAGCCGTAGTATTGATGCTCTGTTCACATGCAGACATTCCCCTTTGACATCACTTCCTGTTACTTCACACATAAATATCTCAACTGTTTATCTCATCTGTGTGAAATTATTTTCAGCAATATTTTACCAATGTAATCTTTCAAAAAATGTATTATTTATTACAAAGATTTGATGTCACAGTCTTTTTAATGTTTATTTTAAAAAAAAGTCAATACTTAATTATGTTTTGCTTTAAAATTTCTCGTGAGAACTGCTAAAAAAAGAGTTTCAGTGAGTTTAAAAGAAATTTGAAAATTCCCGTCACATTCCCAATCACTCTATATTGAAATGTTCAAAAATATTAAAGCCAGTAACATACATTCTCCTTTATTATTTACTGGTTCTGGCCTATTAAAGCTTCTGGCTTTGCAACCGGAGTATGAAATATGGCTGCCATGAGGAGAAGTTTAATAGGCTGCTCTGCCGTGTGCATGTGAGGCATGGTTTTTTAAAGCCCTCTTGCTTGTTCTCTGCTTCTACACGCTTTTCTTTCCTGTATGTTATTTACTGTTATTATCTTTGTCTGTGACATTTTAGTGAAGATGTGGTATCACATGCTATATTTAAATATTTGTCAAAAGATTAGTTGTTAGAAGCTGTGAATACATGCACTTTGTGCCCTGAGTACTCAATATTGTCAGAACACATGATCCAAAGTTCAAAATTCAAAGCATTTATTGGAAACTTGTGGTGTTCTTGTGCCCTAAACCTGCTGCTTATCAAAATGTACACCTACAGTATGTGGTATTGCTCAATTGCTCAATTACTCAATTCTAACTTTAAATCTAACTTATTCTCTCTTCCCTGTCTTTTTGTCTTCCCTGCTGTTATCCATGTTCTTCAACCTGTCATGTCTTCTTCTACCTTCTGCCTCTTTCTCTGTATTTCTTTCTACACTTTCTTCTGTCCTTTAAGACCATCACTGACACCAGCCCGATGCGTCACTCCACCTCCAGCCTGGTCCAAGGGCGCTCTGGCCGTGGCGTGAGGCTGGACGACTACTCCCTGGAGAGGGTCGTGTCTGAAGAGGGGCGACACGGCGGAGGATGCAGACACAGGGACAGGAGTCACCGCGCCTCACAGCGCTCCCTGACCAGATACACAGATGCAGACACGGGTGAGTCAGCATTTAATCGACTGCTGACAGAAATTCTCTGATTTTTAGCTTGATGTGTTTGACTGGCTGATCTGCCAATCAAAAATATTTTTGGTCCATCAAAGCACCATAACAATCTTTAAAACCCTAAAACACTTTTTTAATATACAACCCCAATTCCAATGCAATGGAATTTAAACTAAGAGAAGAACTGAGAGTGACTGGCATAGATTTGCAAATCATCTGCAGATGGAAAGACAAATTATGGCATGCGATAATGGGTCCTAACAGCAGCATGTAAAGTGAGAAGAGAACAAGCCCCAGAATGGATCCCTGCGGTACGCCAGAGGTCAGAGGAATTGAAGAAGCAGAGAACAAATCACCTATCCTGTCAGAGAAAGATTTGTCTGTTAAAAAGGACTTAAACCACTCAAGCACAACTCCCTGGAGGCTAAACTGCTGAGTCAGGCAAGTGATGAAGATCACATGGTCCACAGTGTCATACAGTAGCTGCTGAGAGGTCCAGCATCACTAGCAGAACAGATTATTTGGCATCAAGAGACAAAAGAATATCATTCTGCACTTTCAGTAGTGCAGACTCAGTTCTATGGCGAGGTCTGAAGCCAGACTGATATGTTTTAAACAAGTTGTTATTTAAATTAAAAAAAGGACTGTAACTGAATAAAAATAATCCTGTCCAGCACGTTGGATAAAAATGACGTGGGAAATTGGCCTGAAATTAGAAAAATCTGTGGGATCTAGACCCGTTTTTTTAAGAAGAGGCCTGACCACAGCTTGCTTAAAAACAGATGGAACAGAACCTCAACTTAGACAGCTATTAATGAATGTCAAAAGACAAGTACCTTTAGTGTCTAAGGACTGTTTGAATATCACAGTGAGGATGATGTCCAGTGGACAGTTTGTAGATTTGCTGAACTGAACAAAGACAGTTGAGGTTATAGAGGGAGCACATAATTGGATGTCATTGTGTGCACTGACAATGTTCTGTTTGAAAGTCAATTTTGTTAATAAAACGATCAAGAAAATCCTACTGTGAATGTTGTTGTGTAGCAGTTTTAAGAACATTGATATAAGGATTAATGACAGACTGAATGGTAGCAAATAACACCCTCGGCCGATTACAACTGGTAGAAATTAAATTGGACAGATTTGGCCAGTTTAACAGCATTTTGATAAACAAGAACAAAGAAATAATGTTTATTTGTTTGAAAATTGTCTTTGTAGTGTATTCAATTGAATATAGATTGAAAAGGATTTGCAAATCACTGCTTTCTGTTTTTACATATGTTTTACACAACATCCTGACATCAATGGAATTAGGGTTGTAAAAGCTTCTGTAACCCTCATGTTTGATCTTAGTCTGTAATACGTCTACTATGTGAACTGAGACATGTCTTCGCTAGGCCTGGGCACAGACCTCAGCACAACGACTCAATCAGGTGACCTTCCACCCAAAGAGCGTGAGCGAGACCGAGGCCGCACCAAGGACCGTCGTCACCACCATCACCATCACCGTCATCACAGCTCCATGGACAAGGAGCACTATGGCCACGAACGCCACGACTACCCACACAGGCATCCCCATGATCGACACTGGTCCCGGTCCCCCAGCGAAGGACCTGACGGAAGAGGTCACAGACAGGTGGGTTCCGAACACTTCAACTTTTGTGATGAGGGTTGTAAAAGCTTTACAAAACAGCCTGTTTAAATACTGCTTTTTATGTTTTGTTTGTTCATTTGTTTTTGTTTATTGCACTTTTTTACCCAAAATTTGATGAAAGCATGTTTGTTTGGATTTAAGTTTTAATTTGATGATTTCTGTACCATTTTTATTTACTCCCAAATCAGCACATGCACACTTATGCAGTAAGAGTTCACAGTCATTTCCATAAACTTACTTATGGATATCAATCTATCTTTTTTATGCCTTTTTTTTCTTTGTCACTGTTTCTCTATGTCCATTTTTCCTCAATGTGATCTGTTGCCTCTTGCTGTCAATCTGTTGCTTCATTTTTATGTTTTGGATTATTTTCAATGGTATCTATCTATCTATCTATCTATCTATCTATCTATCTATCTATCTATCTATCTATCTATCTATCTATCTATCTATCTATCTATCTATCTA